GTGCGGAGGGGCAGGGAGAGGGGACAGCAAGACAGGAGCAGATCGCGCTCCTGGAGATGATAAAGAAATGGTGTGGGCAGCGCTGCGGCTGACTGCCGCAGGCTCTTGAACGCTAGGCTGAGAAATTAACTACAAAGCCAGGATAGCATTTATAGAAATACTTCGTTGAGGAAGTATAAAGGCCTCCCAGTCCTGTGTCTCGCAGATGAGAAATCCAAGGCCAAAAAGTGTGGGTGGGTTTTAAAGTTCCTACAGTCCTCCGTGGTTGGGAGGCGGAGGCGGGAGGACCGAGGCCAGCCCGGGCCACAGAGTGCTTTCAAGGCCAGTCCGAACTGCCAGCATGACCCTGTCTCAATGAACAAAACAGAAACACCAATAAGTAGAAAAATGAGTCGCACACTAACTTCGTGGGCATTAGGAGCTCGCGCTCTTTCCTCACTCGTTATTGCTTGTTTCAGGAACTCTCAGACAAGCTACTAAAGCGTTAGTTACCACACATTTCTGAAGCACAGGAAGAAAAGCAATGCTTCAGCCTTTACTTACTTGGAAAATGTTATGGTGCTTTCAACTGTGAACCATGGATTTGTAGTTTTCACTATTTTTTTTGTCTTCTTGAGACAGCTTCATATTATACAGTTCAGGCTGGCTTACACTCGCCTTATAGCCCAGGCTAGCCTTGAACTCGCAGCGCTCCTCCTGCCTCATCCTCCCAAGTGCTGGGATTACAGTGTTCTCTAAATTTGATTGTGAATAGGATGAACTTGGCTAGTCCGCAATTTTTTCTTTTTCTTTCTTTTTTTTTTGTACCAGAAATTGAACTCAGGACCTGCTTGCCAGGCAGGCAGGTACTATGCCACTGAGCTATCTCCCCAGCCCCGCTATTCTGAAGTTATATATATATAGTTTTATATTTTTTAACCAGTCACCTCTGAAGCGAAGAAAGAGAAAATCTGGCCATTCACCTGAGGTGGAGACAATCGAATTTGTGGGCACCGTGATAGCCCAGACCCAAGATGCTCATAGGCGCTGAGCGTGCTCACGGAGCTTCTCTGAAGTCTGCAGAAAACAAACACCGCTTCCCATTTTTACCACAGCACTTGGTATGTGCTGAGCATGGGGGCGCACAGCTGCAATCCCGGCACTTGGGGGGCTGAGGCAGGAGGACTGTTTTGAGCTTGAGACCACCCTGGTCTACAGAATGAGTTCAAGTCCAGCCTGAACTGCATGGCGAGACCCTGTTTCAAAAAGACAAAAACAAAACAAAAACAAAACTTAACATGGTTATCCGTTGTTGCGGGGTTTTTTAATGTTGAAAGAGCACCTAAAGGTTTTCCTGCATTTATTATCCATACAAGATTTTCCTTTGCTGTGGACGTGCCAGTATTCCGTGAGCTGTGGGCCCAGGGCCCTTCGCCCCCAACCGCATTCAGGCGCAGGCCCGTTGCACGATCTTTGACCTCTGGGACAATCACAGCTTCCATGGAAGCCTTTCCCACAGTCGTCACATTTGTACGGTTTTTCTCTTCTATGATTCACGGATGTTGAGGAAGGTCTGCACTTTCCCTGAAAGTCTCTGTACATTCATTGCACTGGTGAGAGTTTATTAAGGTGTGGTGCCTACGACTCTGGGCGAACCCTGTGGCATTTCTGAAGATTTTAGCACATTTGTTACATTCAAGTGGTTCCTCCCCATTGTAGTTTCTTTTTCTTTCTTTCTTTCTTTCTTTCTTTCTTTCTTTCTTTCTTTCTTTCTTTCTTTCTTTCTTTCTTCCTTCCTTCCTTCCTTCCTTCCTTCCTTCCTTCCTTTCTTTCTTTCTTTCTTTCTTTCTTCTTTCTTTCTTTTCGGTTCTGGGGATTGAACTCAAGACCTTGCGCTTGCCAGGCAA